GTCGGCATCCTTGAAGAGCGTGGGCCAGGTCGAAGCCCGACTGTAACACCTTTCTCGCCGTGCGGTTATCGCCATGGTGCCCGCTAGTAGGTCCCTCATGGCAATGAGACAGGATGCCCTCCATCTAATTTTCTGTGGCACAACGACGGATGATCCCGTCGGCTCCTATCCTGAAGATATGAGGGTCATCCTAGAAGTAGTGCTTCAGGTCGGAGAAGAACTTCCTCTTAGCGTGAGTCCTCATCCCCTTAGGTAGCTGCTGGCCCACCAGATAATTTGAAAAATCGGAGTACGAAGGGGTGACACTCTCCACCAGACACATCATCATCAGTCGCTCATCTGGGAAGGAGTTGTTGATCTCCTCCTCGAGGTTGTCCGCAGGCAGCATGTCCAACCGGGAGAGGTGATCAGCAGCAACATTTTTGGCTCCCTTCTTGTCCCGAATCTCGATGTCCAACTCCTGCAGTAATAGGATCCATCATATGAGCCTAGGATTGGCATCTTCCTTGCTCATCACGTATCGTATTGCGGAGTGATCTGTGTATACGGTCACATGGGACAAGAACAGATAAGGACGAAACTTGTCGAAGGACAACACCACCGCGAGCAGCTCCTTTCCGTCGTGGTGTAGTTCTCCTTGGCATCGTTGAGGGTCTTTGAGGCGTAGTAGATGGGATGGAAGTGCTGATCTTGCCTCTGCCCCAAGACAGCTCCAATAGCAAAGGCACTGGCATCGCACATCAACTCGAACGGTAGAGACCTGTCAGGGGTGACCATGATAGGAGCATGAGTGCGCTTCTCCTTCAAGGTCTTGAATGCCGCTATGCATGCGTCATTGAACTGGAAAGGGGCATCCTTCTCAAGGAGCTTTGTTAGGGACAAGGCGATCTTCGAGAAATCCTTGATGAATCGCCTGTAAAACCCTGCATGGCCTAAGAAACTGCAGATCCCCTTAACAGATGTGAGAGGAGGCAGCTTACTGATAGTCTCGATCTTGGCTCTGTCCACCTCAATTCCCATCTTGGAGATCTTATGCCCTAGAACTATGCCTTCGCGAACCATGAAGTGGCACTTCTCCCATCTCAATGCCAGGTTCGTCTCTTCATACCGTTTTAGGACGAGTTCTAGGTTATGGAGACAATGAGAGAATGAGTCCCCATAAACTGAAAAGTCATCCATAAACACCTCCATAATCTCGGCGACCAGTCGGTCGAGGATGGCAAGCATGCAACGCTGAAATGTGGCTAGGGCGTTGCAAAGCCCGAATGGGATCCTCCGGTAAGCGAATGTGCCGAAAGGGCAGGTGAAGGTGGTCTTCTCCTGGTCTTCCGGTGCAATGGGGATCTAAAAGTACCTGGACATCCCATCCAGGAAACAGTAGAACTCATGCCTCTCCAGCCACTCCAGCATCTGGTCAATGAAGGGTAGCAGGAAGTGATCCTTCCGAGTGGCGTCGTTGAGACGCCGGTAGTCGATGCAGACGCGGTACCCAGTCACCGTGCGCATAGGAATGAGCTCATTCTTCTCGTTGGGAACCATGGTCATCCCACCCTTTTTAGGCACCACCTGGGTGGGACTGACCCACTCACTGTCAGAAATGGCGAAGATGATCCCCGTGTCCATCAGCTTCACGAGCTCTGCCCGAACCACAGCCTTCAGGTTCGGTGTCAATCTCCGCTGTGGCTGTCTTACTAGCCGCATCTCATCCTCTAGCAGTATCTGGTGGGAGCAGAAGAATGGGTTGATCCCCCATATATTAGTGATCTTCCACGCCAAAGCTCGCTCGTACTGCTTCGGCAAAGCCACCAGTCTGACCTTCTGCTCGGGTGTGAGGGTCGAGCTAATGATGACTGGAAGCTTGTTCCCCTCCTAGAGAAATGCATACTCCAAGTGAGGAGGGAGGGGCTTTAGCTCCAGTTCTGGTGGCTCCTCCAATGAGGTGGTGATGCAAGGTGAGGATCAGATCGGTTTGAACAGCTTATCACTTTCCAAGAATTTGCCACGCTCCAGGGCGGCCAACTGCTCCTCCAGATGCGGCTCCTGCGATGACTGCTCACCTAGCAAAATACAACGCTCAAGAGCATCGTTAGTACCCGCACTCGTGATGGCGAGTGCGGCCTCAAAATCAGCAAGCATATCACAATAATCTAGGTCATCATGCAAATGGGAATGCTTCCCATTGTTCGACACAGAAAAAGTAGCTTGTTCATCCCCAGCCCGCAAGATCAGTTTACTACTATGCACATCAATAAGCGCCTTGGTGGTGGCGAGAAATGGTCTATCCAAAATCAAAGGCACATCCACATCCTCATTTATATCCAGAATAAAAAAATCAACAGGATATGTGAATGCGCCTACATTAACAAGCAGATCCTCCATGATACTCCTAGGATGCACAATAGAGCAATCAGCTAACTGAATGCTCATCCTAGTAGTTCTAGGTTCACCTAGGCCTAGCTTCTTAAACAAATTGTAGGGCATGACGTTAATGCTAGCGCCTAGGTCCGCCAAGGACTTTCCTACATGCATGTTGCCAATAACAAGAGGGACAGTAAAACTCCCTGGGTCTTTGCGCTTCTCGGGCAGCTTGTTCTGTAGGATGGCCGAACACTCCTCGCTCAGCATCACTGTCGAGAGATCCCTAAGTTTCTTTTTGTTGGTGAGGAGATCCTTCATGGATTTGGCGTACTTGGACATCTTCGACAGTGCCTCCATGAACGGCATGCTGATGTTGACATGCTTCAACATTGCCATGAAGTTGGCAAATTCAGCCTCCAACTTGTCTTTGTGTAGTCGAGTGGGGAAGGGAAGCTGGGGAACATGCTCCTTAACCACTTATTGTGGCTTGGGA